CATGTGCCGTCATCCCCACTGCAAAGATGAGGCAATGTCAGTGCATGTAGTGCCTCCAAGTGACAGGGCCAGCAAAGGGTAGAATGGATGTTCGACACTCAGGCTTTTAAGTTCTATCTTCTTTCCACTGCACAAAGATAGTATTTTGCAGATGCCACATGCATAGAGCAGATAATAAGTGTTATGAAGGCTCAGAGGCAAATGATTTTGTATAATTGAGTCATTGGCAGAGGCTCTGGGGCTGGGTACGGTGGCTCACGCCTGTAATCCCAGCACTTTGGGAGGCCAAGGCGGGTGGATCACTTGAGATCAGGAGTTTGAGATCAGCCTGGACAACATGGTGAAGCCCTGTCTCTACTAAAAATGCAAAAATTAGACGGGCGTGGTGGCACGCACCTGTAGTCCCAGCTACTCAGGAAGCTGAGGCAGGAGAATTGCTTGAACTCGGGAGACAGATGTTGCAGTGAGCCAAGATCGTGCCACTGCACTCCAGCCTGGGCAACAGAGTGAGACTCTGTCTCAAAAACAAAACAAAACAAAATAAAAAACCCCAAAACTGAAAAAACAGAGGCTCCTGGAGAAGGTAAACTTGATCTGGTTCTGGAAGGAGAGCTGGGCGTAGGGGACTGTGAAGGAAGGACAGGGGCATTGGGCGTTGGCTATGGGCTTGGCCTGTGAGGAGGCCGCAGGTGGGACGTGGGGGTGGAGGTGCTTGCAGCGGGGCCCAGCCCAGCCTTGGGAGCTGTTGTTCCCACTGAACGGGCTGAATCCTGGGATCCTGAGGGTCTGATTGGGATTCTCAGCAAAGTTTTCTCCCCATGCGGAAGGGGCAGGGGGAGAAAATCGTCAGCAGAACAGACTTCCTTTTGCAAGATGACCCCTCGAGCAGGAGGAAATGTTGCAGCACTGTCAGGCAGAACAGAGGGCTGCTTCTGAGGACAAGGGAGGGTGGGGGATCCTATGAGTCCTCCCAATGTCCCCCTACGTTTTTAATCCAGTACAGGAACCTCACCCTTCTCCAATCAGTGCTCTCCCTTCCAGCTGGGAAACCTGCTGGGGCTATGGATTCAGCTAATGTTCTTCAACAACTTGACAGCTTAGACTCTTTTTTTTTTTTTTTTTTTTGAGACAGTGTCTCCTCTATCATCCAGGCTGGAGTGCTATGGCATGATCTTGGCTCACTGCTACCTCCTGGGCTCAAGCAATTCTCCCACCTCAGCCTCTTGAGTAGCTGGGACTACAGGCATATGCCACCACACCTGGATAGTTTTCGTGTTTTTTGTAGAGACAGGGTTTTCACCATGTCGTTTGGGCTGGTCTTGAACTCCTGGACTCAAGCGATCCACCTGCCTTGGCCTCCCACAGTGTTTGGATTACAGTCATGAACCACCGCACCCAGCCAAAGGCTCAGACTCTTAAGACGGGTTTTCAGATATCCTGGCCTTGCATCTGTAAGGGATGAAATTCCGTGTTGTTCTAGGAGGTCTTTAGGTTTCAGTCTGTGGCTTGAATTCAGACTTTAGAGATTTGAACTTCTAATTCTCGAAGTTTTTCAGCGCCATTAAAAGCAGTCACCCGCCTATGGCCTCAGATTTCTCGTAGCCATACGATCTCAGGATGGAAGCAACAGTCTCCAAGAGCTGGGCTTGCAGCGGGCATGACATCCCAGGCACCTCCTGGCGAACTAATTACCGAACTTCCTGGGCTGCTCCGTCCCTGTCTCTGCATATCATCAGAACATTTGCTCTTTTCTCTCCTCTCTAAGGCAGATAACCAACCGCAGACGTTCCTTATCTCCCCTCTTCTCCATAATTTGCAATACCCACTCCTGGTACCGAATTTCATATCAGCTAGGAACTTTTCAGTGACAAGTAATGAAAACCGAATCTGTTATAAAGAAAAAAGAAACGTATTGGAAAGATACGAGGGCCTCATAGAGTCCCGGGAAATGGGAGGCTTAGGTTTGGAAAATGGTTAGGACCCAAAGTCGCCTGGAGAGCCCAGGAATAGGAGGCCCAGCAGCCGGTCAGTGCTTCCGAGGCCACTGCTGGGCACTGCCCTGTGAGCGCTGTGCTCTTCATTCTCTGAATTCAACAGCTTTGTAGTCTAGCTGAGAGGCCCTGGAGGCCACAGCCAGGCCAGGTGCCCACGCGCGGCGGGAGCAGGGAGAGGGGAGGTCAGCCCCTCTGTGTCAGCGCGTGATAAGGCACCCCAACAGGATAGAGGAGCCCCAGTGGAATTCTGCATTCCCATTCTTTCTCCTCCTTTGTGTGGAACATTTCTCCTTGGTGTTTTTTGTTGTTGTTGTTGAATTGGAGTCTCACTGTCGCCCAGACTGGAGTGCAGGGGTGTGATCTCGGCTCACTGCAACCTCCACCCCCAGGGTTCAAGTGATTCTCCTGCCTCAGCCTCCCAAGTAGCTGGGATTACAGGCGCCCGCCACCATGGCCGGCTAATTTTTGTGTTTTTAGTAGAGACGGGGTTTCACCATGTTGGCCAGACTGGTCTCAAACTCCTGACCTCAGGTGATCCACCCGCCTTGGCCTCCCAAAGTGCTGGGATTACAGGCGTGAGCCACTGGGCCCTGCCATCCTTGGTGATTCTTTTAGTGCATTTTAGCCTTGTAATTGACAGAGAGCCTCGGGTATGGCACTTTCCTCTGTGAACTGCAAGTCAGGATGAGGGACGGAAGGTTTCAGGAGAGGAGCGGGTGTTTCATCCTGAATAGCTAAGAACAGTGCCATTAGAATGGGTGGATTTACAGTCACTGAGGGGAGTAAAGTGTCAACTAAACCCCCTGGTAATATAGTGCCTAATATTCCCTAAAATACGCACACATTGAGTTTAGATTAGTGCCCGACAGAGTGAGGTGTGGGGGAGGCTGTGATTTGTGTCAGGCTGGTCCTGCCTCAAAGGAGCACAGCCCCGTGGTGAGGCAAACCCGCAGTACCCAGGGACTCCGCTCTGCGCTGTGCAATTCCGAGCCAGCAGGGGGCAGCCTCAGCCAAGAGGAAGAGGCCCTTGTGGCCCACAGGGGTGGAAAGTCAGAAACGGGGTCTTTCCCTGTGTCTTTTGGTCCCTGTTCTCCCAGTTCCTAATGTCTGGAGGAGGGTTTAAACGGGGAAAGTCACACCACAAGATATATGTTAAAAAGTTAGGCAGGAAGAAAATGGAAATCTGCATCTATACAAGGGAATAAAGAACGTTGTAAATGGTTAAAAAAAATAAAAATGAAAGGGGGAAAGTTAAGAGTCTTATGTCTTGGCCAGCTGCGGTGACTCAAGCCTGTAATCCCAGCACTTCGGGAGTCCAAGGCGGGTGGATCACCTGAGTTCGAGACCAGCCTGGTCAACATGGTGAAATGCTGTCTCTGCCAAAAATACAAAAATTAGCCAGGTGTGGTGGTGCACGCTTGTAATCGCAGTTACTTGGGAGACTGAGGCAGGAGGATCACTTGAACCCAGGAGGTGGAGGTTGCAGTAAGCTGAGATTGGATTGCACCATTGCACTCCAGCCTGGACAGCAGGGCAAGACTCTGTCTCAAAAAAAAAAAAGTCTTATTTCTTGATCAAGGAAAATCAAGGCAAAATATAAAAGGCGAAGAGCAATCCATTTTCTTCAAGGTAAACGTGTAGGGCAGGGAATGAGGGAAGAGTGGGAGATGTGAATCATTTAGATTTGTGGCAGCTGAAGACATGGGGACTGAAGGTCAGGTGTGGTGGCTCACGCCTGTAATCCCAGCACTTTGGGAGGCCGAGGCAGGCAGACTGCTTGGACTCACAAGTTTGAGACCAGCCTGGCCATCATGGTGAAACCCCGGCTCTACTAAAAATACAAAAACTAGCCAGGCATGGCGGTGTGCACCTGTAGTCTCAGCTACTCCAGAGGCTGAGGCATGAGAATTGCTTGCGGTGGAGATTGCAGTGAGCCAAGATTGCACCGCTGCACTCCAGCCTGGGCAACACAGTGAGATTCTGTCCCCTCCCCCACAAAAAAGAAGTCAGTGAAAAATGGCACTTTGAGAATATCTGATTGGGCACTATGCCCATGCCCCATCCCCCAAATGCCCACAGTGGCTCCCTCCTCCCCCTGGCTGTACAAGGGGTAGTTAGTGGCTGGTTTTCAGCCAGGACTGCTCTCCTCCTACCCCACCTACACTCCCTATTACTTTTGCCTGGGTCATGACTCACGCCTGTAATCCCAGTACTTTGGGAGGCTGAGGTGAGTGAATCACTTGAGATCAGGAGTTTGAGACCAGTCTGGCTAACATAGCAAAACACTGTCTCTACTAAAAAAATATAAATATTAGCAGGGTGTGGTGGCGCATGCCTGTCGTTCCAGCTACTTGGGAGGCTGAGGTAGGAGAATTGCTTGAACCTGGGAGGTGGAGGCAGCAGTGAGCTGAGATCTCGCCATTGCACTCCAGCCTGGGTGACAGAGCAAGACTGTTTCAAGAAAAAAAATTTTTTGTAGAGATGGGGTCTCACTATGTTGCCCAGGCTGTTCTTGAACTCTTGGGCTCAGTCAATCCTCCTGCCTCGGCCTCCCAGAGTGCTGGGATCACAGGTGTGAGTCACTGGGCCCAGTGTCCCAGCTCCTGCTCTGATCCAGCTCTAGCATTAACCGAGCTTTGTGGCTGTGGGCAGAACAACTTCTCCAGTCCTCAATTTTCTCATCTATAAAATGAGGCGGTGGGATTAGGCCCATGATTTTAGAAATAAACATCAAAAACAGCAAAGAAAGTAAGAGAAGAAGAAGGGAAGAGACGATGTGTAAACCATTGCTGAACTGAGCCCGGACTTGCCACGGTGTGGATTAGATAATGCTGCTTCTCCTCACATGGAATTGTGGGAAATTCCCCAAAACTGTGACTGGAGCCAGCTTTAGGCAAGGCTTTTTCTCCTTCTGGAAAGAACATCTGAACTCAGTCACCTCGGACTCTTCCTTCCTACTCTTCCTCCTCCTTTGTGTGGAACATTTCTCCTTGGTGATTCTTTTAGTGCATTTTTAAAATATTGAAAATAGACGTTTTATTTTGTTTATACAAGGTACAATGTCAAAATAGAAATCATATATAATGTGTAGCTATAATAGACAAGGAAGTATAAATATAAACACATATGTATGTAAAATGGCACTGAGTTGAGGTTTCTTCTTTGCGGATCCTTTGATGGAGAGGATTCGCTTGGCTCAGCATCTCTCCCACCTTTCCCGGGTCCCTGTCTGTGTGTGCAGAGCAGCTGGAGACAGGGTGGTTAGAAGCCCCAGTGCTGGTGTCTTCCCTGGAGACACCTCCCACGCCAGGAGGAGCCTTGTAATTGACAGAGAGCTTCAGGTTTGTCACTTTTCTCTGTGAACTGCAAGTCAGGATGAGGGATGGAAGGTTCGGGGCAGGGGTTTTATTTCATTACCACAAGTATTCCAGGCAGCTCACACTGTAATAAAATAAAACCCTTGCCCAGAAGCCTTTGGTCTCTCCTGGGAAGCTGGGCCCTGGATCCGAGGCAGGCAGGTGGTGCCCATGGGAAGGTGGAGAACCTGCTTCCCTGCGCAGGAAGCGCCGACCCCGCAGTCTGTGAGATCCTGCTGGGACGTCTGAGAGGCCTGGTGGGCTTGCTCCTGGAGCCCACCTCCTTGCACCTCTTCTCAGTCGTCTTTAGCTAAAGCAGATAGGCTCCTTCACTCCGGACGTAGCTGGGCTGGTTTCCCCGAGTTTCAGAGGTCGTGAGAGCAGTTTTCCAAGTCTTCATCTCTGCTGCTGGTCTCCCCAGTCACTGGCAGAGCCTCCATGGCTTCCATTTCAATGCTGGCCGGCGGGGGAGTTTGCCTGCAAAGCAGGTGGTTCATAGGTTTTGAAAAGAGGAGGGGGTTGGCCTCAAATCAACACGCTTCCCACTGAGCATGTCCAGCACTGTGGGGATGGCAGGAGCAGACAGAGGCCCTGCCGCAGGAGTCAGACAGAGAGCACTTAGTCCTCAGAGATGGAGAGAACCTAGAATGCCTACCTCTACAGAGAGTATTAAATCCTATCTAGTGGCCAGTTGTGGTGGCGCATGCCTGTAATCCCAGCACTTTAGGAGGTTGAGGTGGGAGGATCGCTTGAGCCCAGGAGTTCAAGACCAACCAGGGCAATATGACGAGAATAATAAATCCTCTCTAGGTATTTCCAACCTCCCCATCCACCAAAGATCCACCAAACGTTGTTGGAGCAACTCACGCCACCCCGCGCTCACCCCACGCTTTGCCAGTCCTCTGCCCAAAAGCCGTTCAAATGGCAGGAATAAGAAAAGGAGAGAGTGACTGGGAGCCTGGCCAAATCAGACTTGATCATCTTGAAAAAAGTGATTTAATATTCATGAAGCTTTTAAAAACAGTTCTTAGCACTTAGTATGTGTGAAATAAAGAAAGAAATACACAAGTCAATCAGCTCCTGAATGACAAGCACAGGGGAGGCAGGACACTGGGTGCCGACGCCCTGGGCATCTGGCCGGCACCTTCTCCTGGGGCAGGTGAAACGTCCCTCCGGAGGAGCAGCAGCTCTTTAGGCCATTTTAAGGTAAGCAGTGTGAGCTGCCTGGAGTGAGAGCTAAAATAAGGCAGGATGCGGGTGCATTCACTGAAAATAATTTGCTAACAGCCAATTTGTCAAATGGCAAATCTAATAACCCATTTGCAAAAAACAAGTTTATGGAAAGCATCAGTTCACCAAATGACCAAGTAATTTATCAAATTTATCAATTCTTCTTTTCCTTCTTTTTTTTTTTTCTGAGACAGGGTCTCGCTCTGTCTCCCAGGCTGGAGTGCAGTGGTGTGATGCCGACTTGCTGCAATCTCTGCAGACAACCACGCCCAGCTAACTTTTTGTATTTTTTGTCAAGATCAGGTTTCACCATGTTGGCCAGGCTGGTCGCAAAAAAAAGCGATCCATCCACTTCAGCCTCCCAAAGTGCTAGGATTACAGGTGTGAGCCACTATGCCCGACCATGCCAATTCTTCCTAAAGATATATTTATTTCACTTTTTGAGCTTTTTAAAAATGAAAAAAATTTTGTGTGTGTGGGGATCGGGTCTCACTATGTTGTCCAGGCTGGTCTCAAACCGCTGGGCTCAAGTAATCTTTCCACCTCAGCCTCCCAAAGTGCTGGGATTACAGGCATAAGCCACCATGCCCAACTGAAATATCTTTCATATAGCCAGTAAATATTGCTGTTTTCCTATTATGAACATATTTATTGGCTGTATATACCAAATTTACAAATCCTTTTTAAGAATATATTTTAATGTAATTTTCATAAAAAGGTGGTATATACATTTAAACATATATTCAGTGAATATATGTATTAATTATAACCTGTTAAAAATATAACTCCAAATTCAGCATTTTATATGGAAATTCTGTAGTTATTAATAATGTTATTTTGAAAATTATTTTAAAAGTCATTTTCTGTTTTGTCAACATTTTTCATTTTTTGAATTCTTTGGACAAATTTTTGAGTAACATCAATGTTTGTTAATTTCTCAACTGTCTATGAGGTTTATGGCATTTTTTATTGGTTGGGATGGTATTCACAGCTTTTGAAGATTTATGTGAAGTTTTAGATACTGGTTTTCATTTTGACTTTATGGTAGCATTTCATAGAATGTTCATTTTGTCAAAATTAGGCTCAAAGGGTCACATAATTTTTATATTGATATCACATTTAGAAAAGAACGTTTTATAACTATTAATAGTAACTAAAAGTTTAGTCCGGACAAATCTGAAATCTATATCAGTATGGAATGCTGGAATACTGGTTACTAATTGATAGAAGCACAAAATTAAGGCCAGAATACCATTTGAGGCTTTAATCAAAGAATAATAACACTGCCTAAAGATTAGAAAAATGAGAAAAATTTAAAAAGTCAGCAAGTGGCAGAAACATTTTTGCCAGAAATGCTAAGATGCAGAATTTCAATGATCAGGAATACAAAATTAAGGCTAACATGAATGAGTATATTTATAAGAAGGCATACCCCTATTCAATGAGGACCTTCAAGAATATATTCACGGGGATATCACAAGAAGAACAGATAGGATTGCATGTGTTGGCCACCTGGTGCACTTTCTCTGGCCGCCCCATTTCTACCGTGGGCAGGGATGGGGGCACTCGGGCTCGGGGCTAGCTCACTGCTCCTCGGCTCTGGCGCTCATTGGCCCCTACAGAAGGGGTGCGTGATAGCCAATGGCCAGGAAAGGGGTCCTTCTTGGGAGGGGGCTTTCTGGAATCACTATGGTGCGGCTCTTTTCTTTTTCTTTTTTTTGAAACAAAGTCTTGCTCTGTTGTCCAGGCTGGAGTGCAGTGGCAAAATCTTGGCTCACTGCAACCTCTGCCTCCCAGGTTCAAGCAATTCTCCTGCCTCAGCCTCCCAAGTAGCTGGGATTACAGGTGTGCACCACCACGCTTAGCTAATTTTTGTATTTTTAGTAGAGACAAGGTTTCACCATATTAGAAAGGCTGGTCTCAAACTCCTGACCTCAAGTGATCCACCCGCCTCAGCCTCCCAAAGTGCTGGGATTCCAGGCGTGAGCCACCATGCTTGGCCAGGTGCAGCTCTTTTCTCGTGGGGGAATACTTCCTCTTGCAGAGGGAGTAGCCATGCAACTCACCTTGACTTGATGTAGCATGCCAGGAGAGACACAGCGCTCAGTCCACACAGCAGGACAGTGGATGCGGAGATAGCCACTGAAAGAGAGGAGACCACGCTGAGACACCCAGGAGCATATTCATTGCTATGAATTGCAAATTCTTTACCATGGACATTCTTACAGAGGGATCCAAGGGCCTCCCAACAAGCCTGCTGCTATGGACATTTCTTAAGGTCCATGCAATTCCCTCTATTTTATGTCTAGGTAAAAACACATTCTCTTTCCTGCTGAGGGTGCCAGCTCCCTGTCGTCCCACACCTCTGCTCCTCATCTTTGTCTTCTCAGGCAGAGTGCCTGGGCTGACGGGGCAGGGACGGGGCAAGGGAGGGGGCAAGTCAGGAGGCAGCAGTAAGAGCCTCAAGGGCAAAGCCAGGAGTGGGATGAGGAGAGAGCGCTCCTGCTGCTAAAGCCAGGGTTGAGAAAGCAGACAGGGACACCCCTCCTCTGCTGTCCCCAGTACAACGCCCCCTTTTCTTCAACTCACCGGTTTAGAAACAATAGCACCCAGTGCCATTTTCCTTCCAATTTCATTTTTTTCTCACTTGCCATTTTTTTCTTTTCTTTTTTTTGAGACAGGGTTTCCCTCTGTCACCCAGGCTGGAGTGCAGAGGCACTGTCTCGGCTCATTGCAACCTCTGCCTCCTGGACGCAAGTGATTCTCCTGCCTCAGCCTTCTGAGTAGCTGGATTCCGGGCACACACCGCTACGCCTGGCTAATTTTTTGTATTTTCAGTAGAGACGGGGTTTCACCACGTTGGCCAGGCTAGTCTCAAATGCCTGACCTCAACTGAACCACCTGCCTCAGCCTCCCAAACTGCTGGGATTATGCAGGTGAGCCACTGCATCCAGTCTACCTACAACTTTGTTTTATTTTTTTATTTTTTATTTTTTGAGATGAAGTGTCACTCTGTGCCCAAGCTGGAGTACAGTGGTATGATCTCGGCTCACTGCAACCTCCAGCTCCAGGTTCAAGCGATTCTCCTGCCTCAGCCTCCTGAGTAGCTGGGACCACAGGCACGTGCCACTATGCCTGGATAATTTTTGTATTTTTAGTAGAGACGGGGTTTCACTATGTTGGGCAGGCTGGTCTTGAACTCCTGACCTCGTGATCCACCTGCCTCAGCCTCCCAAAGTGTTGGGATTACAGGCGTGAACCACTGTGCCCAGCCAACTTTTTCTTTTCTTTCTTTTTTTCTTTTTCTTTCTTTCTTTCTTTTTTTTTTTTTTTTGAGACACAGTCTCGCTGTGTTGCCCAGACTGGAGTGCAGTGGCTCGATGTTTGCTCACTGCAACCTCTCCCTCCCAGGTTTAAATGATTCTCCTGCCTCAGCCTCCCAAGTAGCTGGGATTTCAGGCACCTGCCACCACACCTGGCTAATTTTTGTATTTTTGGTAGAGACGGGGTTTTGCTATGTTGGCCAGGCTGGTCTTGAACTCCTGATCTCAGGCCCACCTTGGCCTCCCAAAGCGCTGGGATTACAGGCATGAGCCATGGATCCTGGCCACCTACAGCTTTTGATGGCAGAGAAAGAGCAGTAAGGAGAAAGAAGAGGTCTTTTGAGAGATGTTATATATAGGAGGAGGTTAGGATTTGGGACCATTTTGAATGAGTTGAAACGAACAGCTTGGGGCACTGACAGGTGTCACCTGAAGTTTATCAGATAGCATAGGAAGAAGGGGGTCTTTCTGTGTGAGCTAGGGGCTTAGTCGGAGGTCAGGGGAACAGAACTATTGTTAAAAACACTTGCAGGCCTGGTGCAGTGGCTCATTCCTGTAACCCCAGTGCTTTGGGAGGCTTAGTGGAGAGGAACGCTTGAGGCCAGGAGTTCAAGACCAGCCTAGGCAACATATCAAGACCCCTATCTCTACAAAAAATTAGCTGGGCATGATGGCACACACCTGTAGTCCAAGCTGTCTGGGAGACTAAGGTGGGAGAATTGTTTGAGCCCAGGGGTCTGGTGCTGCAGTAAGCTGTGATCACGCCACTGTATTCCAGCCTGGGCGACAGCAAGACCCTGTCTCTAAAGACAAAAACAAAAACAAACAAAATGCACTTGCAGGTTTGACCAATGAGCCTGACTATCGTGAATTTCCCTGAAAAAACATCACCCAGGGCTCTGCATGCAAGACGATGGCACTGAGATCTGGAGCAGTGGCTGCCGCTCACTGAAGACCATGGGCCGCACGTCTCAAGGACCCTGGGGGCTTTGAGGGCCTTTGCTGCATGACCTCTAGGCCATGCCCATATACCAAAATAAACCTCCCAGGACTTGGCCTTCCAATACAACTCTACTGCAAAACATCTGAGTATAAGGGTGTAGGGACACTCAGAGCCCTGTAGCTGGGAATGTAAAGTCATGCCATCTTTCCCAAGGGCAGTTGAGAAGTGCACACTCTGACTCTCTAGTTCAACTGGAATTTACTCTTAGGGAATAGACAAATACAGGGGTATTCACTCAAGCATTGTTTAAACTAATTTTCTTTTTTTTTTTTTTTGAGATGGAGTCTTGCTCTGTCACCCAGGCTAGAGTGCAACGGCATGATCTTGGCTCACTTCAACCTCCGCCTTCCAGGTTCAAGTGATTTTCCTGCCTCAGCCTCCCGAGTAGCTGCGATTACAGGCACTCACCACCAAGCCCAGCTAATTTTTGTATTTTAGTAGAGAAGAGGTTTCACCACGTTGGCCAGGCTGGTCTCAAACTGCTGACTTCAAGTGATCCGCCCCCCTCAGCTTCCCAAAGTGCTGGGATTACAGGTGTGAGACACCATGCCTGGCCTAAAATAATTTTCAAGACGTTAATCTGAATCTCTTATCGACAGACAATTAGTTAAATAAAATGTGGTATGCCCATATGATGGAATACTATTCAACTATTAAAAATTATAAAATAGATCTGCATTTATTAACATGGAAAGATGTCTGCAACATCTTAAGTGAAAAAGATATTGAGATAAAAATGAACCCGCAGGCTGGGCTCAGTGGCTCATGCCTATAATCCCAGCACTTTGGAAGGCTGAGGCAGGTGAATCACCTGAGGTCAGGAGTTCCAAACCAGCCTGACCAATATGGTGAAACCCCGTCTCTGCTAAAAATACAAAAACTAGCAGGGCATGGTGGCGTGCGCCTGTAGTCCCAGCTACTTGGGAGGCTGAGACAGGTGAATTCCTTGGACCCGGGTGGTGGAGGTTGCAGGGAGCCAAGTTCGCACACTGCACTCCAGCCTGGGTGACAAAGCAACAGTCCGTCTCAAAAAACAAACAAACCAAACAAACACAAAATACAACCCACAATAGGCTGAGTGCAGTGGTTCACACTTGTAATCCTAGCACTTTGGGAGGCTGAGGTGGGCAGATCACCTGAGGTCAGGAGTTTGAGACTAGCCTGGCCAACATGATGGAACCCTGTCTCTTCTAAAAATACAAAAATTAGCCGGGCGTGGTGGTGGGCGCCTGTAATCCCAGCTAGTTGAGGGACTGAGGCAGGAGAATCACTTGAACCCGGGAAGCGGAGGTTGCAGTGAGAGTCATTGCACTCCAGCCTGGGTAACAGAGAGAGACTCTGTCTCAAAAAAAAAAACCAACCAACCAACCAACCAAACAAACAAAAAACACCTACAATAATCTCCAACCAGCCATGTGCATGTCCATATGCACAGAAAAGTCTTGAGGAATATATACAATGGTGGGATTCGAGATAATCTTTATTTCTTTTTTTTTAAAAAGTCTGGTTTTTTTTTTCATATATTTGCAATGACACTGTAATCAGAATAAATAGTAAAATTATAGAAACAAAATAAAACAACTTGTAGGTAAATAAAAAAGCATAGAAAAATTGTTACAAAAGAAATAACAGAAAACACGAGAAATTAATGAAAAATGTTTTGAGTTTTTGGCCTTAACATGAATCATTATTATGACTAAAAAAAGAAATCTGTCGTAGTGGAGATGCTGCACCTGACAGTAAGCTCTGTCTTCACGTTGGCTAGTGAGTTGACGCACATTGACGGTGTAGGGGGTGTTTTATTGGAAAAGGCAACGTGACATAAACTGGGCTTCTACCTTCAGAAGATCCCTCCCCATTTCTATTTAAGTGACAAGAAAATCTGCAGAATGAAATTCAAGAGAGAAGAGGGCTCCTGAACCAAGGATAAAACAAAGCAACTTGAACTCAGCGCCAGACCCTTGGCCTCTCCCTCTGTGACATCCGGGCAACTCCAGTGAAGACACGGAAACCAGAATCACCAAGGCAGCTTACCTGCCAAGCCCTCCACCTTTTATTGTTTCCTGGGGGGTGTGTGGATTGGAGGAAAAGGAAGAGAAAGAGATCTGGTGAGACAGAGGAGGAGCGAGGAGGAAGGAGAGAGGGGAAAGGTGATTACTGCAGAGGAGGCCATGAAAACCACATCTCCCCACCAACCCCCACCTTCGGCCTGTGCACGGATTGGGTCCAGGGCAGAGAAAGTAGCCGAGACAGCCGGGGGCCAGTGTTTGGCATGGATGATGAAAATGTCCTCTGGGCATATGCAGGGAATAGCCGTTCCTCAGCAACACCCTGACCAATTAGGCCAATCACTGGGTGTTAATACCCGTGTGTCACTGTGGCCAGAGCTCCTGAGTGCCTGCATCGGATGAAGGCGATTTTGAGGGATGAGCGTCAACTCAAGTACTCTGAGCAGCCATCTGGTCCTATCCTCCCTCTTTTCTTTCTTTCCTTCCTTCCTTCCTTCCTTCCTTCCTTTCTTCCTTCCTTCCTTCTTTCCTTCCTTCCTCTTTCTCTTTTTCTTTTTCTGTCTTTTTCTTTCTCTTTCTTTCTTTCTCCTCCCTCCCTTCTTCCTTCCTTTCTTCCTCTTCTTCTTTCTTTCTTTCACTTTCTCTCTTTCTCTCTTTCTTTCTTTCCTTGTTTTCTTTTCTTTTCTTTCCTTTTTTTTTTTTTTTTGAGACAGGATCTCACTCTGTAGCCCAGACTGGAGTGCAGTGGCACCATCATAGCTCACTCTATCCTCAAACTCCTGGGCTCAAGCGAGCCTCTTACTTCAGCCTCCCAAGTAGCTTGGACCACAAGTATACACAACTACACTTGGATAATTTTTTTAATTTTCATTTTTTGTAGAGACAGGGTCTCACTATGTTGACCAAGCTGGTCTCTCAAATTCCTGGGCTTACGCAAGCCTCCCGCCTTGGCCTCCCAAAGTGTTAGGATTACAGGTGTGAGCCGCCGTGCTTGGCCTAGTGGTTTCTTTTCTATCTCTATTGCACTAAGCATGTGGCAGGTGTTGGGTTCACAGTAGATACTCAATAAATACTTGATTGATCAAGTTAAGCTTTTAAAGTTCTATAAATTGAAGTAAATTTAAAGTGACATTTGCTTTTTAATGAGGGATCTGTATTTCATAATAGCTTAGGACCATTCCTGGCACAGAACAGAAACTCAGTTTATATTGAATGGATGAATGATAAAACATAGAGGCAGCTCCTGTCAAAGGCTGAGCACATCGACTGAGGCAAATTCATTTCAGCCATGAAAGCCCAGAGGCATATTGCCATCCTGAGAAGTAAGTCCTCACACCTGGCATACTAAATCACACTAAACCATACTAAACCTGGCATACTAAGTGCTGGCATCGTGGTATGCTGGCCTTTTAGTTTACAATCAAGAGTCCTCAAGAACAGCTTCATCAGGGATGGGAGACCAGATATTGGAATAATTGTAGAAAGTTATTGATAAAAAGGGCTGCCAACATGGAATCAACCCAAATGCCCATCAATGATAGACTGGATAAAGAAAATGTGGTACGTATACACCACAGAACACTACGCAGCCATAAAAAGGAGTGAGATCATGTCCTTTTCAGGGACATGGATGGAGCTGGAAGCCATCATCCTTGCAAACTAACACAGGAACAGAAAACCAAACACCACGTGTTTTCACTCATAAGTGGGAGTTGAACAATGAGAACACATGGACACAGAGAGGGGAACATCACACACTGGGGCCTGTGGGGAGAGGCAGATGGAGGGAGAACATCAGGAAGAATAGCTAATACATGTGGGGTTTAATACCTAGGTGATGGGTTGATAGGTGCAGCAAACCACCATGGCACACATTTACCTATGTAACAAGCCTGCATGTCCTGCACATGTGTCCTGGAACTTAAGGTAAAATTAAATTAAATAATAAAAAAAGGGCTGCCAAGTAAGCCAGTAGATATTTAAGACAATGAAACTATGAACCGTATTTCTTAAAATTTATTAAAATGTTGAAGCCCTCAAATTCACTCATTCATTTGCTTACTCATTCGATATTTATTGAGCATCTACTATGTAGCATTTACTGTTGAATTAAAAAGAGCAAAAGCATAGAGCTAATCATTTATATAACTTATTTTAAAAAGCAAATTATGATATTGGTAGTATCAATGGGTTGATTGAAACGTCAGTTAATTTACTGAGCAACCACTGTGGTAAAGCGTTGTTAATACTTTCTTATGAAGACGGGCTCAACTGATTGCTTATTCATGCAGAAGTAGCAACATCCACTGATGTTCAAGGAACCAGTGAGTAGATCTCTCACACATAACTTGTACTCCTGGATCTCAGGGTGGCTGATCCAACATAAAACACCTGAAGTTTTTTTGTGTGTGGCGTCTCTGTATTTCCACAGTTCCTTGCACAGAATTATCTTTGTCCATTGTAGGCATTTGGTTAATGTTTATTACATTACATTTCAGAATTTGGGAGAAAGTTTGTGTGTGTGTGTGTGTGTGTGTGTGTGTGTGTGTGAGTCTTGCTCTGTCTCTCAGGCTGGAGTGCAGTGGCGTGATCTTGGCTCACTGAAACCTCTGCCTCTTGGGTTCAAACAATCTCTTGCCTCAGACTCCTGAGGAGCTGGGATTACAGGCATACGCCACCATGCTCGGCTAATTTTTGTATTGTTAGTAGAGACAGGGTTTCACCATGTTGGCTGGTCTCGGACTCCTGGCCTCAAGTGATCTGCCCACCTCGGCCTCCCAAAGCGTTTGGATTACAGGCGTAAGCCACAGCGCCTGGCTGCTTTTTTAATCTAATAAAAGTCATGAACTAGAAAAGGCAGATTATAGATTATAGCCCATCATCAAATAGTTGTTGGAAAATCTATACAGAAAAAATGACCCCTGAACTTTACACGTAGGATTCTATCCTACAGATATTCTTGCACCTATGGATTTTCAATTAATGGCTGTTTGTAAGATAACCACAGAATGTAGCAATCACATGTCCAGATAGGGGGTTGGCTAAATTAATGGTGGGAATTCCATACAACGGAATATTCTGTAACTGTTAAAAACGATGAGATGGTTTTTGTGTCCTGATATGGGGGGATCTACAAGGTATGCCAGCAAGTGGAAACAAACACGGTACCGAACAGAAGAAATGAAGCAACTGTCCAGCATTCCTTATCCTCTATGTGTTTATTTGTACAGTCTCTCTGGAAGGATGCCTGGAAATCTGGTAGCAAGTGTTGCTTCCTTCCTGCAAGGGGATTTTTGAGTTAGAAATGGGATTTACTTTTCGTCTTTTTTCTGAGACAGGTTCTTGTTCTGTTGCCCAGGCCAGAGTGCAGAGGCGTGACCACAGCTCACTGCAACCTCTGCCTCCTGGGTTCCAGCAATTCTCCCACCTCAGCCTCCCAAGTAGCTGGGACTACAGGCATGTGCCACCATGCCCGGCTAATTTTTTGTGTTTTTAGTAAAGATGGGGTTTCACCATGTTAGCCAGGCTGGTCTTGGACTCCTGGCCTCCAGTGATCAGCCCACCTTGGCCTCCCAAAGTGCTGGGGTTATAGGTGTGAGCGACCTTGCCCAGTCTGATTGTTTTTTAAACTATTCTAATCAATTAACTGCTAAAATGTCCAAAGTCACTTGTTTTCCCAGATGACGTTTGATGCAGGTAAAAATGAGACCACAAAAATATGAGTCATTCTCTAGCAGGAAAATTTATGAACAGAAGATTAAAATAATTTTTGCCCATATCAAATTACAGTTGGGTTTTTTTGTTACTTTGGAAGCTTGTCAGCCTGGAGCATGACTTGCTTTCTTCTCATTACTTGCGTTCTTCCTCCCTGCCTGCTTCCCTTCTTCCTCCTGTTCTCCCCTCCTCTCTCAGCTCTCCTCCCCTCCCTTCAGGTTTTCCTTTTAGTCTTGCAAACGCTTTCCCCTTTTCCTCCTTATCGTCACTTGCACATTCTCTTTTCTATTCTCCTAGCCTTAGCATTACATGTGTCTTCTGTAAGGAGGAACAGTTTTTGGTTTTATTTTGTGTTGTTAACTTTTTTTCTTTTTCTTTTTTTTGTTTTTTAAATAGAGATGGGGTCTTGCTATGTTGACCAGGCTGGCCTCAAATTCTGGCCTCAAGTGATCCTCCCACTTCGGCCTCTCAAAGTGCTGGGATTACAGATGTGAGCCACCATGCCTGGCCAAGAGGAGTGTTTTATACTGAAAATGTGGACAGCTTCTCTGTTAAGTGCACGGCGAGGGACCGGCAGCTTCTGGCAGAGATGCTGTAATGTCAGTGCTGGCATTGGCACCTGTGGCTTTGGATGCTCCGTGCGAGGGAGTTGGACCCTGCTGTGTAGAGCTGTGAAGAGCTGACCTTGAGCCCTTTTGTGGGGTGCCAACACTCTGGGTTCAACTCCAGTAGCCTGACCGCTAGAAGCTACCAATATTTAGAAAAACAGGCACATCAAACGGAGAACTCCATAAAGCAGCTATTGTTTAACTTACTATGTGATGGAGGCTTTCTAAGTGTGGAAGGGACTGCTGCCAGGATTGTGCTGGGCAGCAGGCCTGGGCCAGGACCACCCAGCACCTGGGACTGCGGTCACCCTGATCATAAACATACTGCACAAAGGGACACACTTACCAGTGGTGTCGCTGTGGCCCTGTGGATACACACCTGCGGAAAAGAGAGGAGAGCATCACGGCTCGAGTCCTAGAGGTCCTAGATCCTCATGAAGCAGGAGAAACTCGGCACAGCTCGGCTCCCATCTTAGCACCCTCGGAGACTCGTGGCTGGCGTAACCAGACTCGTTTTAGCAAAGAACAAGCAGGGTAGCTCACTGAGGTGCTGGCCACACTTAAGAATCAGATAAGCTTTAGAGAAGGTCCACGTTACCCACAGCTCCTCCATTCCACAGATCCTGGCCCCGGACTGCAGGGAGCTTCCACCACCTCCTACTGCGGGAGGGCACAGATGCCACTCAGAGTCTCAGCACGGGCTCTGCTGTGCGGGTGATAAGGCTGGCCCTGTCACATCTTGGCGGGTGGGCTTGTTTTTCTAGTTGCCCCAGCCACAGAGAAAGCCACGGAGAAAGAGGCCAGGCCAGGAGGCTGTGGCTGGTGGCTGGGGGCAGCAGGCTACCCAGTGAATCCCGACTTTGGGTTGACGGTCTAAAGCCGCCTTGTGCTGGATCTCAGCCCCGATCTCAGAAGCAATAGTGAGAAATGGACCTCTCCTGGGGCAAAGCGAGTGCTAACCTGGCGGCTGGTGGGAGGCAGACGCTGTGAGTTCCCAGGTCTTGGCTGTTGTCTGAGAGGGGCCGTGGGAGGACTCATGACTGCCTATCTCTGTGGTTCCTGTGGAAGGTGATGTGGAAGGCGTCAGCCGGGAGCTCGGGACAATAGCTGCTGTTGTGGCCGCTGTGGTGTTTGAGCTGGGAGATGAAGCTGCGGGCTCTGTAGGAGAGGCCAAGGCAGGGAGAGCATCAGTGTGCAGACTCCCCTCCTCTCAGCTGCAGCACGGGGTGATGTGGGCGCTGCCGTGGTGAGTCACCCTGGCCAGCCCTCCCTCTCCCACAGCAAACTGCTCCTTAAGAGGGTGACATAGCTATTCCTCTGGAAGGGCCATAGGACCTGTGAAAACACTAAAGAACATGGCTACTATCACGGCACGTGTAAAGAAAAGATCAGCCAGACACAGTGGGTCATGCCTATAATCCCAACACTTTGGGATGCTGAGGTGCGAGGATCGCTTGAGTCCAGGAGTTTAAGACTAGCCTGGGCAACATAGCAAGACCCTATTTCTTTTCTTTCTTTTTTTTGAGATGGAATCTTGCTCTGTCACCAAGGCTAGAGTGCAGTGGCATGATCTCAGCTCACTGCAACCACTGCCTTCTGGGTTCAAGCAATTCTCCCTGCCTCAGCCTCCCGAGTAGCTGGGATTACAGGTGCGCACCACCATGCCCAGCTAATTTTTGGATTTTTAGTAGAGATGAGGTTTCGCCATGTTGACCAGGCTGGTCTCAAACTCCTGACCTTAGGTGATCCACCCACCTCGGCCTCCCAATGTGCTGGGATTACAGGCGAGAGCCACTGTGCCCTGCTGCAAGACCCTGTTTCTACAAAAATAAGAATGAAAATAAATTATCCAGGTGTGGTGAGCGTGTGCCTATAGTTCCAGCTATCTGAGAGGCTGAGGCAAGAGAATCACTTGAGCCTAGGAGTTTCAGACTGCAGTGACCACTGTACTCTAGCCTGGGGGACAGAGTGAGACCCCTGTCTCTTAAAAAAAAAAGGCAGGCAGGGCAGGGGGTGGGTGGGAAGAAAAGAAAGGTGTTAAAGATCTGAGTCGTTCAGCTTGTTTACTAGAGAAGGCAGGCCCAACGTCGGAGGCTCAGCTGAAAGCAGGTGAAGCTGCATTGGCCGAGGATTCTCGGAGCGGCTGAATGTGAAACACATGAAGCCTGGGCTCTGGCCTGAACTCTCTGGGCTGTTGGAGGAAAGCATCCGGATGAGCTCGCTGTCAGGAACAGAGGCTGCCTTGGGTTCAGAGTCTTCCCTTCTTTGTCATTCCCCGGAAGGTGGCTGCCCCTGCACTGTAAAGGTACTGTTCCCTCTCCATGAAAAACGTGTCTTCCGTTGTGACAGCTACGGAATTTAGCAAATGTGGGGCCAAGCGCTGTGGCTCTCTGGATGCACTGTTGTTGCTGCGTTCCCGTGGTCTCCCAGCCACACAGGTCATGAGAAGTCCTCACATCCCCTTAATCCTTTGTCACCACCTCGCATACAACTTGCCCCGCCCTCACTGCCAACGCTCCAGGGCTCCCTGCAGACAGGGCACACCACAGCGTCCTCAGCCAAGTGCCCCCGGTCGTGCCAGCTCAGGTCAAAGGCTGCTGTCACGTCGGAGCTTCTGACTGCACAGTTGTGTCTCGACAATGGCCATCGGACCAGGCATTTGGGAAGCGAGAGTGGGGAGGATGGGAGAGGCTTACTGGATCATTCTCCTCCTTGGGTTAACGAGGTGTGACTCAGATCAAAGGGGTTGTAGAATTACCTCAAGTTTAAATGGAGCCAGCCCCTCAACCCCTTCCTCCCTGTGCAGGTGACTCACTAGGAGGGAACCTTGTTTAGCTGCTTCTTTCTCCCTTAAGCTGCAGGCCTCAGCCTTGGCCACTTAAGAACCACCTGGGGGCCAAGTGCAGTGGCTCATACCTGTAATGCCAGCACTTTGGGAGACTGAGGCTTGCGGATCACCTGAGGTCAGGAGTTTGAGACTAGACTGACCAACATGGTGAAATGCTGTCTCTACTAAAAATACAAAAATTAGCTGGGTGTGGTGGTGCACGCCTGTAATCCCAGCTACTCGGGAGGCTAAAGCAGGAAAATCACTTGAACCTGGAAGGCAGAGGTTGCAGTGAGCCAAGATTTCGTCTCTGCCCTCCAGACTGGGCAATAGAGCAAGACTCCATCTCAAAAAAAAAGATCCACCTGGGGCTGGACAGCAGTGATTTCCAGCTTGCACCCAGGCCAACGGGAGTGCTCAGATGTTAGTGCGTATCCACGGCTGACAACCGACACTCTGCAAAGGATGGCTGCGTTTTGTAGTATGAATGACAACAGACAGGCCCATCCCTGGGGGCAAAGGAGTAGGCAGGGGCCAGGGACAGCCACAGGCTGGACGATGCAACACTAAAGCCAAGAGTGAACTGTAACATGGAGGTATCATAGCATGCAGGGCAGAGGATCCCAAGAAAGCATCCAAGATTTCAAATTTTCTGAACACTGAGAAAGTGCTGAGGAAATCGGTCCTGACAACCTCCAAAGACTCTGTTGAAGCCTGGGACACTGGCAGCTTCAGGCAATGCCTCTACAATAGAGCAGTCACGGTGATGTGCTGGTGTTTAGGTCTGGGTGGGGGGCAGCTCTCCATGGGTCTCTGACGTTTCTGCACATCTTGTAGACAGGGGAGCTGACTGCCCTTTCTCTGGACCATCCTCTCAAGGGTGCTTCTATAGCAAGCGCCTTGGAAGATAGGGACATGGTCTCCCCTGGAGCAGAGAGCAGGCGTGATTACTGCCCATGACAAAACACTTGGGTCTCCAAAGCCGGGGCTTCCTCTCCCACAGTGCAGCCCGCTGAGCGGACAGGCATCTGTTGAGGCCCAGCTGTGCTGTCCCTGCTGGCTAGGGGGCGAGGGAATTGATGCAAACATGCTGAAGCTCCCGCTGCTTGCTGGCCTCCCATCCTGGAGTGCCCTCGTTTCTGCCAGCACCCATGAAAATGTTGAGGGCTGAGACACGTGCAACCTCAAACCTCAGTCTACTTTCAGTTCTTGAAGGTAAGTGTCTACAACTAAATATCATATGACATATTAGTGAGTTTTAAACCACTATTCATTCTGCACATATAACACCTGGATATCAAGCAACCTTGATTTGAAAAAGAAAATTAAGCTGGACGTTCTTATTCTTGATTGAATAAGACATTTGTGCTATTGCCTAAGTCTGCAGTGGCACACCATGGAGGTCCATGAGTCTGCAGGCTTGGTGATGGGGGCTTTGGGTGTTGGGAGGGAATAAATGTCCTCAAGAAGTTTCTGACCTTCCTACCTTTTCCAGAAGGGGAGAGGCTCTCTGGCTGTGGGGTCACCCCTGCCGTCGTTACTGTGAAGGGTGGCGCTGGCCTTTGGCGAGCCAGGAGAGGGTCTCCTAGAGAAAGGATAACCACATGGCACTTATGATCCTGAGCCTGGAACCTGGGCTAGCCTCAGAACTGGATACAAATAAAATATATTAACACATGAACTTACAGTGGAGGCATGAGAAACAATGTTTCCTCACCCAAATGCAAAGACAGACTGCAAACTATTTTTCTTGCATTTCCAAAAAGACTGCACAAGTTAAATATCAAATTTATTTTGGCTGAGATGATATTAATGATATCAATTCAATTTGATAATAATGGCTATTCTTGGGAAAATAAGTGATCACTCAATAGATTCTATTTTGTTTGTTTGAGACAGGGTCTTGCTCTGTTGCCCAGGTTGGAGTGCAGCGGTGTGATCACAACTCACTGCAGCCTCGACCTCCCAGGCTCAAGAGATCCTCCTGCCTCAGTCTCCTGAGTAGCTGGGACTACATGTACGTGCCTCAAAGCCCAGGTAATTTTTATTTTTTTATTTTTAAAATTTTTTTTGGTAGAGACAGGGTCTTGCTATGTTGCTGAGGCTGGTCTTCAACTCTTGGTCTCAAGCAATCCCTCCCACCTCGGCCTCCCAAAGTGCTGGGATTAGGGGTGTGAGCCACCATACCTGGCTTACATTTCGCTTGTTTAGCAGGAAAAAAAAATCATTCAAAGCACAAGAGGTTGGGAAGCATCACAGAGGGAGTCGTGAGTGATCAGAATGCGGAAGGATCTTTGGGCTAGGTGAAAGCTAAAACGGCATCCAGTCTTTGGGCTTTAAAACCCTGATTCTGGGTTCTCTTCTTTCCTCTCCTATCCTGACCCTGTTTGGAGCCCACAGCTCTTCTCCATCCCACATTCATTTGCCCAAAGCACATGGAGCATTGAGGAGACCTCACTTTCCCTGCGGTGAGAAAGCCCTTATTTTATCTCCGGCTTACAGGTTCCAGGGAGTCCCAGGACTGGCAGGTTAAGACCCACCATGGTTCCCACAGATCCTGCTCTCCCCGCCACGCTCAGCTTTCTCATTCACTCACTGATGCCACACGGTGCTGTGTCCCCAGCGAGCGGTTTCTCAGAACAAGTCGGAGTCTTCCTCCCTGTCCTCCCTCTGCTGCCTGTGGGACTCGCTCTGTTCTGGGGGAGGAGGCTGAGCCCGCACTCCCAAGCCAGTGGCAATGTTCAGCGCCTCACGGAGCTCCCCTCTGTCCCCGACTGCAGAGGGCGGGAGCGATGGGGTCGCTCCATGCAAGGGCGCGCTCATCCCTGCCCCAGAGACGAGCTGGGGAAGCAGAGAAACCTGCCCCCAACGTTTGTCAAATGGGAATTCTCTTGGAAGCCCCTGGGTTAATTTTTTATTTTTTCCAGAAGGAGGAAGAGGGGGGCAGAAGCGGGCCTGAGTGTTCCAGAAACAGCCCCAAGTGGCTCCCACCCGAGGCGGTTTGGCCGCTTCTGGGATGTTTATCCAGGTGCAGAGAGTTAAAAAAAGTCGATTCTTGCCACCTTCCCACCCTCCTGCTGGACACCGTGCACAGCTGACTGAGCACAGGGCAGCCCTGCTGCAGGGCCTGCGCCCATCCCCGGGGCTGGGTAATGAGCAAGGAGCAGTGATGGCTTCCAACATCCATCTTCTCATGAGAAATCCCAAAATTTCTCACACTAGTGTGCTCGTGGGTGCCCACCCAGCTCTGCAGCCAAATTCTCTTGCCAGCATCATCTCAAATCAAAGCACTACATGTAATAAGAGTTAACAAGTACCAGGGTTCACGCCACCCTCCCACAGCCCGCAGTGTGGTTACCAAGTCCGTTTTCCAGATGACCAGCCAGAGTGCCAGAACGTCACAAGAGCCGCCCAAGGCCTCCTGGGTGGTAGGCGGCAAAGCCAGGATTGAAACCCAGAATTCTGTGACCCCAGCACCTGTGTATTTCCATTTCCAGACGTCAGAGCTGTTGCTGAGGATCCACGTGGTGTCTTTTTTTTTTTTTTTTTTTGAGATGGAGCTTGCTGGTGTCACCCAGGCTGGAGTGGCAGTTGGTGTGATCGCGGCTCACTGCACCTCTAACCGTGGATTCAACAATTCCTCCTGTCTCGCCTCCAAGTACTGGGATTAAAGCAACATGCCACATGCCCGGCTAATTTTTGTATTTTTAATAGAGACGGGGTTTCACCATGTTGGCCAGCCTGATCTAGACTCCTGGACCTCAATGGATCCTCCCACTCCCTCACCAAATGCTGGATTACAGGTGTTGAGCCAGCCAGGCCCGGCCCCCACATGGTGTGTCTTTTAAGCCTCAGACTCAGCATAGATCCCTTGGACGCCCTGAGATGGTATTCTCTCTGTGCAGCCCTTGGCGGGTGGGCGGGGGAGGAGGGTGGGGGGCCTTGGGCTAGCTCACTAAGCATTTGAGACTGGGGGAGTTGTCGTGCGATGTTCGTGGCTTGTTCAGCACGCACTCAGTCAAGGCTGGACGTCCGGCTTTAAATCGCTTGAAACCGGAGTTACAAATGCTACCCGGCTCCCTGGAAGTACAAGCTGTAGCTGCTTGACCCGGATCGTTCGCGTGTTCCCACCGGACACTGGGGGAGGGCACGTGATGCCTGCAAAAAGTGCAGAGGACCAGGGGAGGGGTGAAAGGTTTCCAACGTTGTGACCCGTTCCTCCAGGCACCACGGCGCGGCCGGTGTCAGTACGACTTTAGGGCTGAGTTCAGCTTATCCTATGGGGTGCCTTAGGAAAAGCCCAGGTGCCAGCGCACATGGAGGATGTGCAGGAAGGGGCATCCATCACCCAGAAGCCTTCCCAGAGCCTCACCTGAAGTGCCAGTCAGTCAGCAAAACTAGAGATGGGGGCGTGGGGAGAGGGTCATTGATGAAACGCCGTCTCCCTTCATTTCCCACCCCTCTCCAAGCCCTCAGTATCTCTCAAAAGTCTTCATCTCTCTCCACTGTGGACAGAGCCTCCAATTCTCACTGAACGACAGCAACTGCCTCCAGATGGGCCCCCTGCAGGCTCTCCCACAGGCCTCTGCGGCCAGCGTCACCTTTAGAAATGCATCTTTGAGCCTGGCCAACATAGTGAAACCCCATCTTTACTAAAAATACAAAAAATTAGCCGGGTATGGTAGCACGCACCTGTAATCCCAGCTACTGGGGAGGCTGAGGCAGGAGAATTGCTTGAACCTGGGAGACAGAAGTTGCAGTGAGCCCAGATCACACCATTGCACTCTAGCCTGGGCGACAGAGTGAGACCCTGTCTCAGGAAAAAAAAAAAAAGAAAAGAAAAGAAAAGAAATGCACCTTTGACAACTTCACTCGTCCCTGACCACCCAGTACTCTTAGAATAAAAACAAATCTTTACGAAGTCTTCAGGGCTCGGCCAGCCCCTCTAGCTCTCTTCCCCCAGTCATAATGGTCTTGGGTTCCCCTCACACCACTCACCACGCTACCCACCTCTTCCCAAGCACAACCCACCGTGGCACTCTGTCTCCCACCACCCTTCCTAGCTCACTGAAACACTGCCTTGTAAGGAAGACCGGCCCTCTCCCTGAGTACACAAGGGCCTGGGCTGAGTTCTTTCTCCCCTAGTCTCTTCCACAGTTTGTATTGGAGATGTTGAGATTATGTAATTCACGTGCATCCCACTGTGTGTGCTCTGAGCCAGATGAGGGTAGGGCCACCTCTGTTTTGCTAACACTGGGATCCTGAGCCCAGCACTGTACCTGAAACTAGTAGGTGCTCAAGAAATCCTTGTTGGAAGAACGAATGGATGAACTCTGTTCCTCAACCACAGTCTTCAGCCTGACTTTCTCATAGAAGTGAGTTCAATTGATTTCATTTCTATCTTTGTAACCAGCTTATCTGATTATCCTCTCTTTTTCAGAAGAAACCAGAAGCAAGATGAATTGCTCCAGACGGCTTTACGTTTGTGACAGGTGGAATTGGACTCAGACTCCAAACTTCAGCTACACATCCGGCAATGGTGCAGGAGCTCAGTTCTGTGGAAATGAGGGGTTTTACGAGTCCACATCTAAGGGGATTGGCCTCAGAAGCAAAGAAAAGATGGAAATGGGTGTCACTTCCATTTCCATTCTGGGGACACTGTATTCACTAATGGCTTTTAGTTGTTGTTGATAATTATTTATTAACAACTATTGATATTTCTTTGTCCTTAAAAATTTCCTTTCTTATGTAAAAGCACATAACGTAAATGTTAAAGACAACCTGACTTGAGTGAGCTGTAGGAGAACTTCAGGTTTTTTTCCTACGTTACGTAACAACAACAACAATGAAACCTGTAAAAAAGAAAGGTTGACTTGTTTTCCAGTCGGCAAAAATGAATGAGGTTGGTGTTATTGATCATGTACCTAATATAAAAATCTGTGGATTCCAGGAAAGAATCTATTCAAGGCCTCAATGACAGTTAACATAAAATCCCCTTTGGCACCAATTTTGTAGACTGTGGTTCTATAAAGAAACTCCAAAGGGATCGTCCTTAGTTCTTCAAAGGCAAGGAGGCAGCTAATGTACCACTCTACCATGATTTCTCCAAGCCAATATGGTTGGCTTTTCCTTGTTTAAGATGAGGTCTTGTCCAATGCCAGAAAGATTTTTTTTATATAAGATAAAGTCTCACTCTGTCCCTGGAGGTGGAGTGCAGTGGTGTGATTGTAGCTCACCACAGCCTCAACCTCCCAGGCTCAAGCAATCCTCCCACCTCAGACTCCTGAGTAGCTGGGACCACAGGCATGTACCACCATGCTCGGTTAATTTGTTTTTTGTTTGTTTGGTTTGTTTGTTTGTTTGTTTGTTTTGTAGAAATGGGGGTCTCTCTATATTGCCCAGGCTGGTCTTGAACTCCTGGGGTCAAGCGATCCTCCTGCCTGGCCTCGAAAACTGCTAGGATTACAGGCGTGAGCCATCATGCCTGGTCTGAACGATTCAATTGTGGCTAAATTTAAAAAGCAAGGTTTTTCTTTAGGCACTTTAAATAACTGTAAGATTTTCTTTTTACTATTTTTCTTATGA